CCCCCCTCTCTCTCTCTGGATTCGTCAGTGTTGGCAGCTTCCCAATGAAATCGAAGTTTTTCACCACTGCTGGTCGTAAAAGCAGCAAATTTAGCAGACCGCAATCATTTACACATCGCAAAAAGTTCATGAAACAACGGTGTTACTCAAGAAAACCACCAGGGTAATACATGTTTCTAAGCTAAAAATACTTGCATGTGTACAGTATTATTTTATGTAATATTATTATAAACCTGTACGCTTTTGAAATCATCCAAGCCGCCTATTTGCGGGCGCTTTCCCAGCAAAGCATCAATATCTGTGCTAAATAAACTGACCTCTCTTCTCGCTCCTTCATTTTGCTTTCCTGAAAAAAACAAAACAATCCGATAAAGCGGTGAGCAACAAATAACAGTAGCTTCGACAAATATCACAGAACTCAAGCATCCCAAAATCATAATCGGACAGAAGGCAAACCACAGATTGTTGCTAATGAGCAACAACCCGAAGAGCTAACTTAAAAATCAGTACGTTTTGTCTGCATTAACAATTTCTGATTTATTATACGTTTTGTGTTGTGCAGCAGCTCCACAAAACGCAAATTTTCCACAGGGTTGTCTGTGTATGTATTTGTGTGAATGTGTGTACGTGTGCGTTTGTGTGTGTATGTGTGTGTGTGTGTTTGTGTATGTGTGTGTGCCCGCAGCAACTTATTTTGAAAGGAAATGGTATTGGAAAACCAGAGAATAAACTTTGGCAGCTCAACTTATTCCTTCAACAGTCACTAGACAGTTGTTGCCACTAAACTGCTAGTTTCATGTTCCCGTGCCACTTGCAAAGTATAAAATAACAGAAGAGAGGGAGTGGGTTTAACTGCCATGTGTAAGAAGACGTTTTACGATACAGCCTGTCTGTGTTTCATCCCCTCACTGACCGAGCAAGGTATGCGGGTAGGAGCGGAAATCATCAGTACAGCTTCCTACCAGCCATGTATTGAACAGTCATGTAACTCATTTGCAAGACGATTTCTTGAAAATACGAGAAAAGTAGCCAAGGGATATGTTTTGAACCAACAAGAAACTATTTCGTGAAAATTTCAAAATAAAACAGCATTGATGAAATTCTACATAAAAAATTAGATGTTTACCCGAATCTCTGATTCCTTTCTTTGCAAATGACATCAATGAATCATCAGGTTTGGTAGTCTGCGGCGATAGCGATAACTGAAAAAACAAGCAATGTTGGGGCAGTATTGTCATTATTTTAAGTAAAAAACAAGAAACAGAATAAAAAAAAAAAACCGATGATGCTTCTGGTACCTCAAAGTTCAGCTGACAGTGCGTGCACAGATTCCTGTGATACCGAAAATTACACCAAAAACAAATGATTTACAAACAATCCCATAACAAAGCAATGGAACTCATATTCAGAGTATCACCACCATCATGCCACAAAAAAACACACACAGATACAGCAGCTGCGCTTTATTCATAAAGGATTCTCTAAAACCAAAAATTATCACAGT